AAGTCCAGCCACTTTTCAGATTCTCCATATGCTGCCATACTTGTGATGTCACATAGTGATGTTCTCCATTTAAAGAGCCCTTTACTCACTGATTAAAAAAATACAGTATTATAAAAAATCTTTGGTACCAGAAAAGGCCAAATATTCTCATCCCAGATGGACGAATACAGCATCGCTGACATTCATTTTGTTTCCTAAATGGGTTTAATGGTGAGCTTTACTGGGCATGCTTTAAACTTCAAAAATATTTAACAGATAATTTCATACCATTCCCAATTTTTCATTAAAATTAAAAAAATAACTGAAAAACAAAGTTTGCAAAGAGCAGCTGTTGATATTCACTTGCAAAAGAGGTGACTAAAGTTGGAGATACTTACTCTTATTTTTCAGTGCAGATAAGTACACCTGTGTCTAAAGTACCACTGTTGTGTTTTTCTTCTCAGATTGTTCCCTGCGAGTATCTCCTGCAGCCAGTGCACAGCGGCGAGCGTCACCTCTACGGCCAGCTCCTGAAGTCACTGGCCTTCTCCGTGTTCACACAGTGTCGTCGGCCATTGCCCAACTCCACCAACTTCAAGGCTCTGACGGGCTTTGGACCTGGTCTCGCCATTGACATGGCTCTGAAGAACCCAGATGTAATTGCTGAATATACGAATCTGCTGTGATGCCTGGTGGAAGTCACTGGACAACGTAGTTTTCAAATTGTGTCGTAGGGTCCTCTGTTGTCTCGCTTTTAAATCAGCATGTTTTTTCCCTTGTGCAGAGGCCCGAGTGTCTGCGTCTGTATACGCCGCCCTTTATCCTGGCTCCAGTGAAAGACAAGCAGACAGAGCTTGGGGAGACTTTTGGCGAAGCATCCCAGAAGTACAACGTCCTGTTTGTCGGCTACTGTCTTTCTCATGACCAGCGCTGGCTGCTGGCCTCCTGCACCGATCAGCACGGAGAACTGCTGGAGACCTGCATCATTAGTATTGATGTTCCCAACAGGTACATGCACTCACTCATAGAAACAAGAAATGCACCGGTGCCACAGGATTGTGTCTTTATTCAAACCACATGTTGTTTCTGCAGGGCTCGCAGGAAAAAGGGCTCAGCCAGACGACTGGGTTTGCAGAAGCTGTGGGAGTGGTGTCTCGGCCTGGTGCAGGTGACGTCGCTGCCTTGGAGAGTGGTCATTGGACGGCTTGGTAGGATGGGACACGGCGAACTGAGAGGTATGCACACAAACACGTTGCTGCAGGGTTCTCTGAGTGTGCAGTTCACAAATACGTGTACGGTCAAACACTAATGTGCCTTTATCTTGTTCGTGTTTCAGACTGGAGTATTCTGCTGAGCAGAAGGAACTTACAATCCCTCAGTAAGCGTCTGAAGGAGACATGTAGGATGTGTGGTATCTCTGCTGCCGACACTCCCAGCATCCTTAGCGCCTGTCTGGTTGCCATGGAGCCCCAGGGTTCCTTTGTCATCATGCCAGGTAAAATAAAATAGAGATAAGTTCATTAAGAATTCGTAGTGACGCTCGGTTAAGTTTGTAAGTTACGATCGTCTCTTCTCTGTCGTGTCTCTGCAGACTCTGTCTCAACAGGTTCAGTGTTTGGTCGCAGCACCACACTGAACATGCAAACATCCCAGCTGAGCACTCCTCAGGACACATCCTGCACACACATCCTGGTGTTCCCCACCTCGGCCATGGTGCAGGTCAACACTAACACTGCAGAGCCCATCGACATCAACTTCAATCCCATAAATCCTGGTAAGTTTGGTCTCTGACGAGGTTTCACTTCAATATCTTCTTGCTGAACATCAACACAAAGAATCGTGGATGTTGAAGGCTGCTTGTTTTCTCTTTGCAGACGGATCTGATGGAATGGGCATCTTTGACCTGTTTGACAACGACATGGTGGATCCAGACCTCATCAACATCCTGCCCAACTCCCCCACTACCTCCCCTGTTCACTCTCCTGGCTCCCACTACCACCAGGGGGGAGATGGAAGCAAGGTCAGTTACTTTTCTCTTATAGATTATTTACCTGAATTCCTGATCTAATAAAGAACATAAGTGTAAACAGTTGAACCAATCAAAACACATCAATGTCGCAAAACTGTCAAATTAAGAAATTGTCATGTTTGAAGTAAAATGTCAAATTTTGTGTCACTTGATGTCACGTTCGTCTTTATTCTCCATTCATGTACCACGAATAAGATACTTAATGTTTTCATCGATGACACTGACTCTGACCTCCTGCTTCAGGAGGAAGGGAAATGAATTCTGGGCTCATGATGTCATAACTTTACAGAACTACGCTCAGTTGTTGCTTCACTAATATAAAGACACCAGTCAAACAGAAACCTAAACATTTAAGTGGAAAACCTGTGCTGTAGGAAACAAGTTGTTCAGTGTGTTCATTCCCTCGATGTTGTCTTACAGGGTCAGAGCGCAGATCGGATGGAGTCCCACGAGGAGGCTCTGAACATCCTGCAGCAGCCCATGGCTCTGGGCTACTTCGTCTCCACAGCAAAGGCTGGACCACTGCCTGACTGGTTCTGGTCAGCCTGCCCTCAAGCCCAGAACCAGTGCCCACTCTTCCTTAAGGTACAGTGGTACCTGTATTTATATTTAGTTAAATCTGCTTCTTCAAGAGCCAAACTGTGGAGAAACTGTCAACTTGTTTTTGTCTCAGGATCATTTGCCAGCAGTTTTTCATTTGACTAAGTCTAGAAAACTTCAGAACATTCAGAATATTGCCAGATAACGTTTCTGAAAGCCAAATGATCTTGTCTGATCGATGGTCAAAACCCAATGACATCAGGTCTGTATCTCTGACAACCAGACTGGAGATGATGCCCTCAATTCATTTAAAGATTTAAATTGAGTTTGCCTCCATATTTCTGTCTCCCAGGCCTCTCTGCACCTGCACGTGTCTTCTGTCCAATCAGACGAACTCCTGCACAGTAAACACTCCCACCCGCTGGACTCCAACCACACCTCTGATGTGCTCAGGTACACTGCTCACACTACAAGAGTCTGTGAGAACTGTGTGTTTTTAGAATAAGGACAGTGTATTAGAGACATGTGTTAACACTGGCCCCCTGTGTCTGCCTTCAGATTTGTTCTAGAGCAGTACAACGCCCTCTCCTGGTTGACATGCGACCCTGCAACCCAGGACCGCCGCTCCTGTCTGCCTGTTCACTTTGTGGTGCTCACCCAGATGTACAACTTTATCATGAACATGCTCTGAACTCTTAACGAGATCGAACCGCTGAGATCAGATCAAATTGTGGATCCTCGACACTCAAAGGACCTCACACTCCATCAGGGCAAATACGGAGGAAGCGTCACTTCTCCTCCTCTTCTTCTTCCTCCCTGATGCATCTTAAACAACACTGACTGACTGGAAGTCTCCAATCAACCAACCAATCAATCAGATGCCAAGAATCCATTTTAGCATTTTGGAAGATTAAGGGACGTTTCATAAAGGAGAATAAATTGTCTTTTTAATGACTGTAGATTGCAATCTATAAATTTTATCTTAATGAAATGCCTGCATATATTATTTATTGTAAGTTTTTAAATGTGGAATTTTTAATGCTTAATATCTTTTATATATTACAAATCCTAGAGGGTGTGTACATCTCACTGTAAAGGAATTGGTTTAAAAAGTGTAATTTTCTCAATTACAACACAGAAAAACCTGTTCAAGTGAATTTGCTGTAGATTGCTTTTAGAATATTATTTTTTCAAAGGGTACAGACCTTTTTATTGACATGCTGTAAAAATGAAGTAAACGCTGGCCTGGGCATTTGCATCCCACCCGACGAGTGGATGAGACTTTACCTCTCTGTCTGCTTCAGCTCCAGAGTCTCTCGCACAGTAACTCAATGAGCTCTGAAGAGGAATTAAAAGGTACATTGTCAGATTATATATTTTATATAACAGATTTAGGTAATTGTGTGTGAGTGTATATGTGTACATATAATTGTGTGCCGCTACTGATGGTGCAGCTTCTGTTTTAGAATTAAAGTGCGTCTACATTATATCATCTTTGTTTTTATGAAATTTATTTCAGGTTCTTATTTGTTTTCACCTTTTGAGTAAAGGGACTTTACATAGTGTTTTCTGGTCTTCACTGCCACTTACAGCACTTTACAAGTCACATGTACCCACAAATTCTTACAGTATTCACTGAAAGCGTAATGATTTTGCACATGGATTGGCATTGAACATACAACCCTCTGGTTAGCTGACCCATTCTACCTCCTAAGAAATATTATCTGCCCCTGATAAATAAATATTAGATAAATTATTACATTTTATGGCTCAAGCTCAGATCACTTCATCCTAAACCTAAACTGCCTGTAATGCAGCTTGGTAGCATCTTTTGTTTAACTGTTCTTATTCTGTATTAATAGTTTATTCATATAGGACTTTTTAATACATGTAACCAAGTGTTTTATAACAAACAATAACTCAATATATAACTATAATATACATAACATGAAAAAAGATTTTTTTATAGAGAAATCTACATGTTTGAGTTGACCCACTTTCTGAAACAGTTCAGAGGGAAATACTACACTTTATACTTCACTAAATTTAGTTGGTAGGTTATGTTGCTGATTCACTGTATAAATACTAGATATATGTAACAAAAAAGGATGATATATTAGTTCAAATAAATCTATATCTATCCCCAGGGGAAATTCACAAGCAGAACCCAGCAGTGTATGAAGTAATAAATTAGCTTCAACTTTACCAGCAGCAATAATAAAGTAATGAGTATATTAATAAAAATACATTAATTAATCAACAATATAATCCAAGAATCTGAAATATTCTAAATTGAGTACATCTACTGTTGGTACCTGGAGTATTTAAGTTAAATATCTGTTCAAAATAAAGTACTAAAATAAGAGATTTTAATACTTTTTTCCAGCTAACTCTTCTGTGGCTGTGAAAAGCTCCGTAATTCAAAATGGGTCTGTCGCACCTTTCTAAAGAAGCTGTTTTATCACGAGTGTATTTTGAGTTCCAGAGGGGTAGCGGCTCTAATGGTTTGTGTGGATGGAGCTTCAGCTAACCCTGCCCATACTAACAGGATTGGGATAGTTAGTGAGAATGGAATTAGCTAATCAAGGAGAACATGTCATCCCAAAGCCTCATCCAATCACCGTCTTACGTTCTCCTTAATTGGATCCAATGGAAGGGTATAGCCCAGTTTGTCTGGGGCCAATCAGGAGAGCGTGCATACATGAAACAATTCAAAGAATCTATTTAGAAACATTTGATTAGGAAACCAGAAAATAGCCTCACGCTGCTATTGTGGGAGCTGATGTGTCTGGAACCAGCAGACGGAGATTCTTAGATCAGTGTCATCTGTGCTTCATAGAATCATCCATCCATCATCATCTCTACTGCTTCTCCCTCTGAGGGTCACAGGGGGAGATAAAGGCAATAATCACTAATAATCATGAATATGAATTATCAGCTTATGATGAGAAACACAATCACAATTACTGTAAGTTAGGATGATATCACACACAGCAATCTAACCATACATATGACTGATAAATAAGGAGGAATAAATAAACACAAGGTCCACAAATACAAAAGATAAGCTCGAATCAATATCCTGTGGATTCAAATGTAAAAGGTTTGAAAATCAGAGGTCGAATCACAATATAAAAATACATAAAATACAAAAAATACCTTTGAACAACTACGAATAAAGAAAAAGAATCTGAGCCAGTTATAGAGCGTTCGATTATACACAGTGTTTAGATTCATCAGCAGAGGTTTGCCACGGATGCCACATATGTAAATACACATTAAACAGGCACAGGGTCTTTATGTATTCATTTTCTCATCAGATTTTCAGTATGTGTCTCTGGAACCCCCCCACCCCCCGCTGCCCCAAACTGTAAACACTCCCTCTCCAAACTGAAGGGTTTAGTGGGACTGATGGGATTCGTTTAAGGCATTAGGAGTTAGGAGTAGTTAATGGTCTTTCCTGGTGTTGGTAAGTAACACTGACTAATTGACCAGGGACGGCAGACAGCTAAAACTGGAGCAGGTGGTCGCTGCGCAGCTGAAGTCACTGTCAGGCTGAGCAGGTGGAACAGGATCCACACTCCTGTTCATCACAGAGCATGAACACTGACGATCAGACGGGAGGACGGGCGTGTGTTTGATGAGCTGAGAAAGATTCACTGGAGAATAAACCACAAACAGGTAAGAAACATATTACAGAATTTATATAGTCACGTTACTGCAGGATTTTTCACTTTGATTTAGTTCTGTAATATACATGTACATATTTTATTTTCCCATTGATAGTATGTTCAATACACAATCAATTTCTGACTATTCATAATTTTGTATTCAAGACTTTAAATAACAAATATTTTCACTATCAAATAAGTTAAATAATGTCTGATCTATAAAGTGTTAGATAACATTGGGAAAGTTTCCAGATCTTAGGTGACATGTGTAAAAGTTTCATTTTGACTTATCAACCGTCTAAAACCCAAAGATATGGAACTATAATTTACATTATTACAATAAAAAACAGACATTTATAATGATTACAATAATATATGTATTTATATAGCACCTCTTAAAACAAAGTTGCTTCACAAATAGAATGAAAAACTAATAAGAAGCTGAAAATATATATAAATATAATCTGTTATTTACTTTTTTTACTTTAATGGAAAAACAGATCTGAGCTTTCGAAGTTTAAACGGCTGGACAATAGATGTGTGGCTGTTTTAGATGTTTTGTCTGGGAGCTCTCTCTCTCTCTCTCTCTGTGCCCTCAGATGACACAGATGAAGCCTCTCTCACTGTTTGTGCTCCCTAACAAACAGCTCCTTTATGAGATTAAGAGATTTCTGCAGCACGCTGACATGGACGAAATACAGAGAACATAGGATGTGTAACCTCCAGCTAATCTCGTCTGTATGAGAAAGGAGGGATCAGATTCCTGCAGCCAAGAGGTTAAAGGGGCAGTGACACAAACAGCAGGATGGAGTAACTCAGGATGAAGAGAGAGAGAGAGAGAGTGACTCCATCCTTCACAGAAACGAGTGATATCAACTCTATTCTCTCGTTTCAGTGAAAAGGAAAAACAAGATGTGATTTACAATCTGATCCAACTATTTTAGAATAAAATATCTTGCTTGAGAAACTAAAAGGTTGAATTGTTAGATTCTGTGTCAGATGAGTAGATTCATCATTCGGCCTCATCATCATGATCATTTTATCCATCGTCTGAAGTAGGAGGAGTAAAATAAGGTTTTATTTATAGAAACAACATAAAGCAACTTGCCTGCAATAATATGAGAACTTTTATAAAAGCTGCAACAAAAGCTACCTTTTCATTGCTCTTTCATTTGCAGATTATCCCCCAATTAATAAAATATCCAGAAATACTTTTAGAATGCTTCTTCCAATTTCTTGAGTTCGATGTGAGGTCTTACAACATCTAAATGTCATAACATCAATATCTAATTGATACCAAAACAAAAGATTTTCCATTTACAGATATATGAAAATCTAAACCAAAATATACAACACACACAATCAAAATAAACCATGTGTCTCTTCTTCTGTCTCCAGTTTTACATCCAACACAGATTACGCTGCACATCTCAGAGTTCTCCATTCACTTACAGCATCACTAATCATGTGTCCTTGGAACGGATGGATCCTAAGTTAATTAAAAGGATTGGCACAGGGAATGCCTCTAATGGGATTACTGGCTGTAATGCAATCTAACAAGATACCGTCATTTCATTTGAATGCGATTTGCAAGGCAAAGTGCCTGAAAGGTTTAATCATACATTATGTTGCACAATGTATAAGATGCTAGTCTATCTGTGAATCTGTTTTTACAATCCTGTGCATATTCACTGATTCGCGCTGCTTGTGTCTTGAAGGTCGATCCCTAATCTGGAGGAAGAGGACGTGAAGGACAATTTGAATGTCCCTGCGGTTGATTGGCTGCTCCTATAACCTTCCACTGAACAAAGAGAACTTCATGTTACGACCTCAAAGCCGCGTGTTTGGACTCCAGCAGGTCTTCAGTCAGTCTCATTGATGGCAGGAGCAAACCCACTGATCCGAGCTCAGAACACATTCCACAGCCTGGTATGAACGACCACCCTCTCGAGTTGATTCAAGCATCTGATCGCTGTTTCTGCTGCTTTGTTAAAGTTGCAACATGCCTTTAAAAATGAGAGTTTCCTCTAAAGCAGAGTTTTTCAATCTGAAATGTAACAGAAAGTTGCAGGAAGTCTGGTCCTCCTGTGATTGGGCCTCCAACATGTCAGTCATCCACAGAGCCATGACTCAGACTCATCTAAATACACAGACAAGACAAACATACTTTTAAATCCAGCACAATTTACAGTTTCTGACCACACCACTCTCATCACACCTCGAAGTCACAGAGAGAAGAGCAGGTTTTCCTCATGACTCCAGAAGTTGCCTGAGAATCATCCCATTTTAAATTTTTCTTCAGTGTCACAGTGATCCGTTGAGAGTTGTCAGTAAAACCATGGATACATCGCAAAGAGGAACTGCTAATAGCTAATTCGTCATATTTTATATTCCACTGTATCATTGTGTCTATCATTGTTTCCTTCCAGCAGTCTGCTCCGTACACTCACAGCCTGGTTCATCACCACCAACACATGCATCAGCACACTCATCAGCACTGCTCCTTCACTCCCATCCTGCACCAGCACGCCACCGTCCCACATGTTCCAGCTGTGCAGCACAGAAATGTAGGTGATTTGTATTTAGAACAGAAACACAATGAATTATATTTCCGCCTGTGCTTCATCATGTTGTAGATTTAACCTATTTATTAACACCAGTGAGAATAAAGTCAAGTCATCATCTGGCATCTCTTGCTACAGTTGAACACAGATCACACCAGAGGGACCATGAGGCCTCCTCTGGCTCCAGCCACTGCGTTCCACTCAGCCGCACAGACGTCCTGCAGGACAGTGAGTCCACTGTGGATCAGACTCAAACACGACACAGACATTAAAACAAAGAAGAATTAAGAGAAACTTGTATCTTACTTCTGTTTAAAAGTCCGACTGATGAAACAAAATGTTGTTTTCAGAAACGAGGGAGGTGGTGTGCGCTGCATGTTTGCATCGCATGGAAGACTTATTACCACAAACGACTCCAGGTAATAGTTAAAGTACAGTGAGCTGCGTGACATGAACAAGTTCACCCAGAAAGTACTGAGCCCCTTTTCCATATTTTGTGTCTGAAATTTAAGCCATATTAATTTTTTTTATTTTATTTTCAAATATTTAGTTATTTGTGTGAATCTTCTGTTAAGTTTGAATTGTTTGCCAAAAAAAACAGTATTAGGGACACAGAATATTTATATCTTCCATTTGGAAAATGTTCATGGACCTAGTCAACATTTATAAACTCAGTTTAGTAACCTACACATTTAACATGTTCATATATGTAGAAAACGATTTTTTAGTTAAGATCTATTTTCATTGTGAGTTGGTTTTGATTGTTCTGCAGTTCCACAGTTAAGTTTGAAATATATGTGATTCAAATGCATCATTCAACAGAAAATGCAGCAAAAGCTCAACAGTCTCCATCGAGAGTCGACACCTGAGAGTCCGTCTGCCGTCAGTCCACCAGAGTCACAACAACACGAACAGTCAGAGCGGCAGCTCTCATACAAACATACAAACACAGGTGAGTTTAAGTCTGTGATGCAAAGAGACATTTTATGTTGTATAGCTTTTCACCTGAGTGTTGTGTTTTTAACCCTCATACGTTTGTTGGTTTGTGTTTGATTTGAAGCAGGATTATGCAAAATATACTCAACAGATTGTTATCAAATTTTATGCAAATCCAGACCAGGGGAATTTTTTTCACCACCTCAATCATTGTGAGTTATAACCACATCAACTCTTTACCTCCAGGAAAGTTATGGTTTTGCTCCTGTCCATTAGTTTGCAGTTTTAAACCAAAGCATACTGGACGGACTGCTCTGACACCTGGTGGAAGGATGGGATATATTCAATTTTGCTGTGGATCTGAATCAGGGGCAGATTCATTCTCTTCAACATTGCGAGTTAGAGCTTTTTTTTTAATTGACATTTTCACCGATTTCCCAAGAAATGATTTATATATGATGGGAAAAAAATCTGGCATAATTAGGGAACTGATATGATGAATGTGTGAAAATTGGTGCAGCTTGATTGACTTTAAAGGAACTGATGAGCCTTGGACGTATGTGCTCTACTGAGTAGTTCCATTCTACTTTATGTATGTACAGGATCTGTAAAGTTGAAAAGCCCAAAGTGTAAAGGTGACTCAAAAGAAAACACAGCTCCTTGTGACATCATAATGCCAAAGATGTGCTGGTAGTCTGGCACCCCCCCTAACAAAACTGAGGATGAGCAGTGTGAGAAGAGTGATGTGTTTTCAGAATCAAACCTCGTAAAGTAATAACTCAAATAAAAACCATCAGCCTGAATATGAACAGAGACGTCTCCTCAACAAGATGATTTTTGATTGAAACCTCTGATCTGCTTCTCTCTCTTTAGCCTGTGACCAGTCAGCGGACAGAAACTCTGGTGACACGTGTGAAACAAGAATCACATCTTCACCAGCGTCTACGACAAAGAGAGACAAACTGGAGCGGCTTGTGCACCTGCAGTGGAAAGAGAGACGGGATGATAACAAACATGGGAACCAACAGTTTGACACGACGAAGGATTTAACGCTTAGAGACGAATCATGGGATCTAGCCGCAACTCCTGAACTTGGCAGCAGGCGCGGCTCACATGGCAGGAAGAGGCGGCTCCTGTGCGACAGCTTCATTAAAGGGAAAAGGGTGAAGCAGGATATTGTGGACCACCGGTTTCCTTATGCTAAAATTTGGCCAAACAATCCGTCTGCGTTCAGCGTAACTCATACACACCTGTCCCCCTGCACACCTGTGCAACACGCCAACTTTAGTGGTTTGTCTGTCTTGTATCCTGACAGCAGCAGATTCAATGTTTCCAGCACGTCTGGAGGTCTCGCCCCTTATCCAGGGGTGGCAATGCAACACTGCCAAAGTGCATCATGGGAGCCAAGGTGGGACATTAACAACAGACAGGCTCCCCACTCCGGTATACCTGTTGTGCCTCTGGTCCTGAGGAAGCAGGAGGCTGCTTACATCAGAGGCTGGGACGCGTCACGAAAACTGTTGCCTCCACCACCACAGGCGGCCATTCCCTCACTCTGGCTTTCTAACACGTGGGGCGCTGAGTCTGCAGGGACCCTCTGAAAGAAGGAGAGCAGCTTTTCTCATAACAACAATCCCTCACCACGTGCATTGTGTCTGCTCAGTTCACTGGTCACTGGAAGCGTTTGAATAATTCTTGAGGAGACGCTCTTTAGGCAGCTTTAAGTAGCCGATCATTGTTCATAATAAAGCTCACTGGTCTTTTAATAAGATCTTTAGATGCATTTTGGCAGCTTCTTGGTTATTTGGAAACTATTTGTTCCTTTGTTAAATTTGTTGTATGATTAAAAATATTCCGATGAGTGTATTTGCACATTTTTTTGAGTTGCATACAAAAGTTATATATTCATATATTCAGTGGAACATGGAATGGTCAGGTGGGATCAATGCTCATATTTAGTAGGAAGAAAAGGTTTTTAAAATATTAATAAATCTACCTAAACTGAACACAGGCTACAGGAGTAAAAAAAAAAACACATGTAAATGTTGCATTTGTGTCAAAAATGTATTTAAAATGTATATCAATAAAATAATGCAACATTCAAAGGCTACAAAAAAAATAACATCCTCTGATACGTCACAGTTACGTGTTGTGTAAACTTGTCACAGAAGAAGAATAGAAGTGCTGTTATCTCATTCATGAAAACTTTGTCGGCGTATTTAACACACAGTGTTGGTGAGGCAGAGTTAATAAGAGCTGCTATAGTGAAACTGTGTTCCACTACAACTTGTGGTGAGAAGAACCATCTCGACGTAACATCACACAAATATCAGTTCCAGTGATGTCTCCACTCCTGCCTCAGCCAAATTTACTAAAACAGAACAATTTAATTCTATAACAGCTACGTGAGAATCAAACCACGTCCATGCCGAGGCCCCTTGCAACCTCTGTCAAGGCCTGGACGGCCCCAGACGTCCCACCGTCATCACAGTCCTCCTGAGATAATCCTCCAGGCTCGTCCTCGATGTGAGGGATGGTGCTCATCACGCAATAGACGGGAGACTCGCTGCCTCTGGGGCTGGGCTGAGCCGAAACGTCCTCCCCTCCAGAGAACTCTGACGAGTACGAGGATGAGGAGCTGGAGGAGGGTGAGGAGGATCCTGCCGGCGAGCTGCGGCCGCTCTCTGGCATCACCGCGGCCCTCTTGGTCCGACTCCTCGTCCGAAGATTTTTCCGGAGGCTCTGAGGTTTTTTGGCCATGTTCTTCATGATCTCCTTCGTCACCTCTACAGTCTCAAATCGCACCATGTTTACTTTTAAGAAGCCGTCTACATCCTTTCTGTATCTGTGGAGGAAACGTAATGTTTTTACATTAGTTAGAGAGAGAAGGGACAAAAACAACATGAACTAGAATTCAAGCTTGGTGGTCGGAGGTTTATATTCAGGCCATTGTAAGAAACTAACAACAAGAGGAGTTTTATTTTTATCAACACCAAATCACAAATACATTATCTTCAGGCACTGTGCATAATCAGGTCCAGCCATTAGAAAACTGTGACTCACCTAAAGCGTGAATGTCCAGACGGCCATTTCAGCTCGTGCTTTTTACGGAGGTGAAGTGTGAGAGTGTAACACCACGAGAAGACCTTATCACAAATATGACATTTGTACTTGGACATCCCCCCGACCTGTTGGTTCAAACAAGTCTCAATGTAAGTAACAAGAGTGTCATCTTAATTCATGACTGAAAAATAATCGTCTTTTTTATGATACATGGGACGTAACATGGTACAACACTGAGCTTTACTGGGTGTTTTGTGTTGGCGCTGACAGACCTCGTGCACTCTCTTCAAGTGGTGACTCATGGTTTGAAACGTGTGACAAGAGTAATCACAGCCCTCGACGCTGCAGTGATACACGGTCCCCTCATTGTGAACCTCCGTGTGCTTCTGTAGATCTTGTTGGTTCTTGAATCTGTTTTTAAAAAATGAAGAAAAAGAAAACATTGTTTTATGATTGTGAGTCCAGCACAGATATGGACGCAAAACTTATTTAAGGCTATCTGCTTTAGACTACTGGACACAAAAGCTACATCAGAATTACAAACAACATTTATACTTTTTCATAGATTCCAAACTGACAACAGTACTCATGTAGAATTTAACATTTTAGATTGTTTCTGTAAATCAGGTCAGTTTAAAAATATACAAGAGACCTTTAAACAAACACGGAAATCACTAGTTGAATTAATTAGTTACTAAACCCTTGTCCAGTGTTTGATAATCCAAACAGAGCATTAATGAATATTAATCTAACACATATTGAGTCCAATACAAATAAAATGCTACAGCTTTGAAATGTACTCACTGAAAATAGGTAATGAGAGATAACCTCTATATCTGGAAGTTTAAAGATTGCTTTGTTGAATTAGCTCAAACCTGATATCACTACTTGTATACTATTACACACAATGTAGAGGTGGCTGCTCACACAAATTGAAAAAAATATTCGCAAACCCTGATTTGGCCAAATTACAGAACATCTAATCTGCAGTTTCACAGATCTACCTTTTGTCGCAGAAGTCACACGGAAACGGCCGCTCGTCACAGTGACGGAATCGGATGTGGATCTTCAGAGCTGCCAAAGTGGTGCAGGTCATGTCACAGAAGGGACATTTGACCTGATTCACTGAGAGTAAAAGACAAAAACAGGTGTTGATTTGATCTGTGATATAATAACGCTTGATTGACAACTTGGATAATTAGAGATTCATTGTATAATCCTATTTAAATACCTATATAATAAAAATATATAGTTATAATTTCAATAACAGATCTGTCTTTTTTGAGTAATGGCATCTCATAGAACTGAATCTGAAATGGATTCAAGTTTGTCCAGCTGTCATTAATAGATCCAAACCTAAAGTCCTTCAAATGTCAGTTTATATAAAGTGTCATGAACAATTCTGTGAAAACTGAGAATCATGACTGAAAGTCTCAGGACAGCTTCTTAATGAACCTTGAGGTGAGATTGTTTTGTAAACTGTTGTTTCCAAGTCTAAGAATACATTTTGAAAAACAACCTTCTTCAATGTTTAAAAATTATTTGCCCATCGTTGTAAAACTTCCAGAGGAACAATCTGGTCAAGACTTCAAATTTGACTGCTTATGTCTTCCATGAGAAAATACTACAGTTAAAACACATGGACAATAGAGAAACGTTTAACTATTGGATGCAATAATAAAAGTGTAGAAAGTTGTTACCATGCTGACGAACGTGATCCCTCAGAAGTCTCTCACTGGAAAAAGCTTTGCCACAATGTTCACAAACAAGCGACTCTGTGTGAATAAGAACAAGAAAAAGCATTTATGCACAACTTTCAGAACATTTACATCCTGGGAAAGTTTTACAAATCAACACGTCTCTCACCCACTGGCTCGGCCTGTCTGTGGAGGTGGTCAAACAGCTTCGTGTTGCTGGAGAACATACTGCCGCACGTAGGACAGGCTACAAGTCTCTCCTGAGTGTGGCTCCGCATGTGTTCCCGCAATCGGTACCGGATCTTAAAGAAAGCATCGCAGCCTGTCACAGAGAGACGAAACGTACGTCACGCGAACGTCAGAGTGAATCAACATGTTTGACCTGTGCTTGCCCACTCATACCTGCCCAGTGGCAGAAGAGAGCCTGCTGTTGTTGTGAGAACGACTGTAACTCAGCACTCTGGATGTGATTGTCCACGTGTCGGTAGAACCACTCAGGATTGTTAAATGTACTCTGTACCAAAAAGATAAATGGAAATCCGATTATTATCGTGGTGCTAAAACTCATTTGTTGATCAATCAACAAGTGAAACCACAAATACCTACATCACAGTTCTCCCACTGGCAAACGTATCCATCCGACCCTTCAGGAACCAGGTTGTTGCTGTGCAAACCTTGGTTGCAGCTGGGCAGGTCGGGACGGGACTGGAGCAGCTGTGACCCGACGAACTTGAGCTTTCCATGGTAGTTGTGAAAGTAAGCATGGACCTCCAGCTCCGTGGGGCTACCCATAGATAGAAACTCACATCCTTTCCAGAGACAGGCGTACTCATCTAAACAGAGAGGGAAGGAGAAATGACTCCACTGAAACGGAATGTTTCACCAACCTAAAGAAAATGATTCATTCCTTCAAATACGATGTTCTCTTAAACTGCCCCAGAAAAACACTCTCACTCTCCCTACATTTATTGTTGCTGGGCTAAATCCAATATTTAATCTTGGTAATGATTCGTGGTTGCTCTCATGTGTGTGTTCACCATGTAGAAATAAATTCCCTCCTCACTCACCCAGTTCCTCCAGGGCGTCACTGTCTCCCAGGTAATCCTTCAAGTGCAACGACATGTGGTCACTCAGCTCCTCCATGGTGCAGCCCCTGAAGTCGCAGGAAGCCCACTCACACGTCACCTCAATATTGTCCAGCCTCTTAGTCGTCATCACGGTGGACCTGGTGGACAGCGAAAGCAAGCTCAATACTTTGACGAGATCACTCTTTCATTCATCTTTGATCAAGTCATTCTCGAGATCATCGGTCCCATCGGCGGTCAGGTTTTCAAACAACAGCTGGATATTAGATTTTAACAAGGGGCGAACAGACCTGTGGTGTTTTAACATGTCTTTACATTCTCAAAATGACAACTCACACTGTGTATCTTCAGATATTTCACTTGTATTTATTACTGCATCTCGTCGATTTTCTGTAACATTGATGTCAATCAAACCTGCGAGTCAAACAAAAAGCAGTGGATTGAAGAGAATTCATCCATTCAGGCTTACTGAAGTACAGTTTAACAGAAAACATTTACAAAGGCGTTTCTATCCTCCAGCTGAACGTCTTGTCTGTGTTCAGAAAGTGAATATTGATGCTAACAGAGGAGCTAACGCTGATCACAGTCGCGTCATTCTTACTCATTTCAAAAGACCAACTCGGACGAGTTTTAATGAACGACATGTAAACACACACTGACTGCGACACGTGTGGACTGAATGTTTCTTACGAAGGAGCCGCAGCTCTGAGCAGCAAATCTGAGCTTGTGACTCCTCTTCCTCTTCTTCTTTCTCTTCTTCTTTCTCTTCTTCTCCAACATTCACTCGTTTGTTTATTTCTTTCAAGCCGCCAAACCGGAAGTTGTTTTGTCCTCTTCCTTCGTTATGAAAAAAACTTCAGGAGCTGAAGGGTACACTGCCCCCTGCTGCCCCGGAGCCAACCAAAACACATCATCATTCTGATTATTATTATAACAATAATAATAATCCCTTTTTATAGTTCTCACTCATTTTAAGTTTATTTGAGTGTGCAATATTAATAAAATACAATACATATATGTATAATTCCAATCATACTGTATACATTCTTTCTTATGTTTATACTATTTCTACTTTTTTCATTCTGGTCTTTATATTTTATTTTTCTATTTTTCCCTTTGCTGCAGTAACACAACACATTTCCCCGTTGTGGATTACCGTATTTTATCTTAACTCACCTCACCTTATGTAATCTTATTTTATCTTATCTTAGTTTCAAACATGTGTTAAACATCAAAATAATCGAATGCAATATATTGCATACAGTTCGAGACGACCGTATGGAAACTGGGTTCAACGTAACATAATGAGCCATATGGGTGAGACGGAGACCAGCCAGACAAGTCTTGAAGAGGAGGGACAGAGCTTGAGCAGCTCTCGTGCCATCGCTGATCTCTTATTCAATATTTCATGCTGCTCTGGAAACATAAGGGCCCATAACAACTGAATTATTCATGCACTTTCATGTCAGGATGACTGATTCACAGGAAAATGACCACCAGCTTCCCAAAACCAGTAGATGAAATGAGAAACAATTAAGTCATGTCTATTTTCTTAAAATCCAGATTAAATATGAGGACATTCTGCATTTCCTGATCAATCTCTGAAGTGTATGGAAGAAAACACTGATGGCTTCTCGCTTTGAGAAATGCACCCTGACTTCAGTTTTGAGGATTAAAACATCTGAAGGACACAACCATCTCCCTTCAGAAACCAAACTGGTCTTGGGGAACGAGGTAGGAAGAAAACCCAGCCCTGAAATATTATTTTAGACACCTCTAAACTCTTTGTAATGTCTTATGTTATTTATTTGTTTATTAAAACATAACTATACCTTAATTTTTTAAATAATAATAAATAAAACCATCACAGGGAGCTGGATTTTGCACTTTAGAAGTAGTTAATGTTTCTGTCCAAGGAGGGGATGATAAGGGGATAAAGAAAATATGTGATAGGTTAATAACAGATAATACTTATAAATACATTCATAAATCTCATTTAACCACAACACTACATCATAAGATAAGTATCAGCTGCAACTCCTGCAACTTTTCAATTAATTCCCTCATGTCTTAATTTATTTCTAATTAGAAAAATAATATATAGAGTAGTTTTAAGGTAAGATAAGTAAATCACTCCTTATTACTGCAGCATTTTCAACACTGCAATTCAAGTTATTTTGTGAGATTATGGCTGTGTAGGTAGAATGCTGACATTAAGTGATGAAGACGAGGGATGCAAGAAGTCATGAGGCAGGATTCTGTATTGTCATTTTAATTGGAGTTCATTCAGAACAAGCTGAGAATACGAGCACAACATCACAACATGTCTGCAGCAGCATGACATCATCACATGGTCATTTCACTCTGGCCTGACGCCCCACGCAGTCCGAGCAGGACAGCATACGATGGGAGATATAGCACCAGGGTGTTGGAGTGCACAGCAGCACTTCTTGTGGTGGGGTCAGACTTGATGTTAGCAGGCAGCAGGCTGTAGAGGTCATACACTGAAAAGTCTCACTTGTACACACACACACACACACACACACTCACACACACACTTGTATTCACTCACTGAAGCTAAAACTGGAAGCAGACTCACGGTGGCTATAGTGGCGTGACTGGGCCCTCGCACACTGCAGCCATGTTGGCCTCAGACGACTTGTGTTTGCAGAGACAGAGGGACGGGGTGTGATGACATTTCAGTAAAAACACGTCAATGTCACGCTCGCGATGAACAGATGGGATTTTTGCGCATTTTCTGACAGCAGCAGTTTGAGGAGCTGAACTTCAAGTCCTGGCCCATTCCTTGTCCTTCAACACCTGGAGAAATCAGCGCGCTCAGAGTGAAAATTATCCAGTAAATACAACAGGTTTTTTAAGCCCATGAGCATCTTCTTTTTTTTCTTATTTAACACAATTACAGCGTCGCAGCTCAGAGGAGAAGATGTAGTACAATGCCAGGAAATACTGAGTCACTGTGGAAACTGCAGTAGTCCTATTAGATTAAAGGAGTGGATCTCCATTTAAATTGCAAGAAATATGTTTGTGGGTGAAACCATTTTGCTGGTGTGTTTACTTTATAGCTTCAATAGCCACTAGACTATGATTTTACCGAGTGTATGTACCCTTTGATGTGATCAGTCTATTACTACACATGCATTATATCTGAACAGGTCTTGCCCCTACACATTTATCTTCGATGGCTCAATTTACAAGCTAAAATGTGACTGTGACATACAGTGTCGTCTGCTAAAAGTGTTGCTACTCAACCAAAAACGGGGCTCTTGCATGCAGGCTTTAGCAATTATATTACAGGTCATTTGGTTTCTTAGCAACCAAACTGATGAAACCAGATATCATCCAGAACAATGAAATGAAAACCAGGACCATACAGCAGAGGCACTGTAACTAGGAACGCAACCGTAAAAACTGATTTTGCATTTTTAACAAAACCTCTCATGTGATACCGTCTCGGAGAAGAATCTTCCCCTTGACATTTTCTACAATCATTTTAATATTGATCTCAAATTGTCATCCATTCAGACAAAGGTAAAAATGCCCTTTTATACACATATAACATGTGTACAGATGGCTCTTTTTATAGATGTCAAACACAACTCATAAATTATGTGCAAATTATGTGCTCAATTAATATAAAGCGGTTCTGTGCACCAACATACACGCACGCTCACACACGCACACACACATTACAGTGAAATTATTTGCATTATTCTAAAAGCTCGACGTCAGTGCCCATTCAAAGTTAAACAATAAGTGACAGGACAGCAAAAACAACAGGTCAGGAAGTAAAAACCAAAGGGAAGAGATTGGCCAAGATGCGTCAGGCGACCTTTTGTTGAAGCACATCGAGGTGGTGACATGTAACTTTTACTGCTTCGCTTCAGCCAGTCTGTTTCTGATCTCTTTGCTCTTCTTTGTGACCACTCCCTCCGGTTTGGGTTCTGCGGCGCCCACGGACGGTTTCTTCTTGGCTGACTGGGAACCGGCAATCAGCTTCTCCTTGGATTTTTTCACCATCTTTCCTGTTGTTGTTGTTGGTGTCTTTTTTGGTTTGGTACGAGACACTGGTTTGTCCGCCTGAAAAGAGCAAAGGTGGAAATACGGAGATTAAGCTCCATTTCCAAAACAATTCATCAGTCTGTTGACATTTCAGGAAAACACACTTATTTGCTTTCCTGCTGAGTACTACAGGGGAGATTGATATCACTCTCATATCAGGCTAAACCTAGCAGCTGATAATTGTAGCATGGGGAAACAGCCTAGTTAACCTGGTTGTGACCAAAGCTAAGAAAAAGGCTTTACAGTGGTAGCTTCATATTCAATAATCGATATAACAAGAAAGCAAATATGCACATTTTTTTAAATGTCACACTAGTCATTTAAATGTTTACTTAACTCTATGTCAAAGTCCTATTTTAGCATGCAATACATACCTTCAGGCAAATGACACCATATGGTACAGGTGATATTTGCATTATGTGGTTAGTGTGATGAAGATAAAAGAAAAAAAAACACAGCACAAAAGGTGTATTTGTGCTTTTCCTTTTATAGAACAGTGGCTCGTGCAGTTTCCCAATGTTTAAAGAAAGTAGATGGTTAATATTAGTATATGTTGTTAGTCTTATACTTGTTATATTCATATTTTGCTTACATTTGACTGATGATAGTGACGGCAAATCCTAATGATTTGACAGGCAAGTTTGCAACTGGAGAATCACTGGTTCAAGTTCTCACAGTGATAAGAAAAATGTGTGTGCAGATATGAATAAGCAAGGCACGGCTTCCTCCTGCTCTTGTAAAAATATTTCTGACGAAGCTCCCAGATGATCAGTTTCTATAAATGAGCTGGTGTACAGCAAATAAGTTGCATACATGCTCAACTTTTGCTGAATAAATAAACCTTAAAATGTTATAAATCGTAAGAGATGACAAATGTGTGTAAATCGCTTCTTGCAGAATAAATGAAGGGCTCTATTTCAATGAATGAATTACTGGTGGTGCAAAGTAGTTGGTGCACAGGGAACAACATCATTTCTGTAAATTCCATGACTTAATTTATTACCGCTGCAAAAGTGCAGCTACAGAAATCTGACATTAAAAGCAAAGAGGACAACATCTGCAAACAAGTGTTGCCAATGCCTGATACCAGAAATAAACTGCAACACTCATACAACTGTATCTCTCCACCCACTTGTAAGCAGATAAATTCATGGTGAACCAGTTGTGTGCAGATATGGAAAACTACATTCTACTCTGCCTGATGTAATTTGCACCAAACACAGTCACTAAAATAGAGCCCCGATCAACACAGTTTTGTTTAAATGAAAATACATCAATGTGCAGAGGTTTTTTTTGCTTGTTGGCTTCAAACTGATGCAATAAATCCATTTTTTCTTCATTGTTACATGATTTCATGTATCCATCCACCCTCCTGCATAAACCTCTGGTCAGTTGTTTAAACTACTAAGCTGCACAAAGAATGGTGGGTGGTGCCGGCGGAGAGGTGGGCAATCAGTGATGATGTGGCTAATAACTCTTAGTCTCATACTGGTGCATACTGTGTGTGTGTGTGTGTGT